GGGTTTAGGGATTAAATGTCAAGGTATGACTCCCCAAGGACCAACCAAGGGTCCTTGAGGAGGACCCTAAGGCCTAACCCCCCAAGGATCCCCAAAACTGCCCAAGTTGCCAAAATGTTATGGGCTACGAATGGGATCTATGCCCCGTAGGTCCATCCACGCCTCGTGGGGGAGGTCCATAGGTCAAGACCTCAAATGAGGGGCCCCAGTACTCCACCTACGAACCTGCGATAAAGGGACGAGACCCCACTCACGGTCTGTGAATCTTGGTTCGTGGGTGGCACCTTCATAAGTTGCCTAGGTTCGGCCATTAGAGGGTCAAGTAAGTAAATTCGAAATTAATTAGTTAATGAATGGAGACATTTTGTATTATTTTATTTCACTTATTTAAGGCGTTTTAAACTATTAACAACCCTTTTACAACTCATAATCCCCAAAACCCAAAAATAGAAACCACCCCCTCTCCAAATAATTTTCTCTCTAGAAACTTCCATTGGAGAAGGAGAAGACAAGGTTTAGACCTCAAGAGTGCATATTTTCTCTTCAATTTCGTGAGGAAATCTTCATAAGGTATGGTAGTTTTCATCTATGGGTAGCTTTCACCGATAGAGTCCCTTCAAAACATGATTTCAAAGCTTCCAATTTCCCCCAAAACTTAGGGTTCACTACAAAAAAATTGATTATTAGCGACAAATAATTTTATCGGTAGAAACTCATATTTCGTCAGAAAAATAAATCGTCAGTCATTCGTCCCTAAAACATGTGTCACTAAATGTATACATAGACAATTTAGTGTTTCGTCACTATATAGTAATGTATTAATTACGAAAATATTTAGTGTCCCAAAATCCTTCGTATTTCTAAAAAAATTGTTCGTCATAAAAATTATTAAAATTTGTACTAAATAGGTTATTATAGCTGACGAAAATGATTTGTCACTAACTATTTAGCTTAATTAGTAAGGATGCAATTTTTCACTAATATTTTATGTATTTAGTAGTCAAGCAAATAATATTTCATCACTAAAACCTACTTTTCACATGCAATTTTTTCGTTGTCCCTAAAGGTAAAAATTAGTGACAACCTTTTATTTAAATAATTTTGTAGTTAAAACAGTCTTGTCGTCGCTAAAAATAAATCTTTTGCCGACAAAATAAAATTGTCACTAAAAAATAGCATAAGTAAGTAAGCAATTTTTGGGACAAAAAATATTTTTGTGACATAATATCATACTTTAATGACGAAAATGTTATCGTCTTAAATGAATAAGCCACTAATAATGCAGCTTTTGAAGATAAAAATGTTGTCACTAATGACATTAAACTTGTAGCAATACAAATTATGATTTGTATTAAGCTAGATCACTGTAAATTTAAAAATTTAAAATTATTAAATAATAAAAATATATTAAACTTAATAGCATGGGCCATGTAGTAGTTTTTTTTAATACAGAGCATCATACACTATACAAATTAAAATTAACAACAAACTAAAAGAAGCAAGATAATAATAAATAAATTACACTATCATATATTAATTAAGAACATCCAAAATGACATTCATGAGATAATATCTCAACATTCTCCTTAAGGAACAATATATTAAGTAAAAATTATCCAACTTGGAAGTGTAACTAAGATATACTAAATATTAACAAACCGAGGCAGTAAAATAGAGGTTGCTTCACAAAATACCATTGCAAAAGCACTTCACTAGCAACTAGTGTTGATTTCTCCGTTCCACAACTTGTCTAAAAGAAGAAAAAAATTATTTCATACTTTATGATATCATGATATACAACAACATATCCAAGTGTAATCCCCCAAATGAAATATGGGGGATAGAATATAGAAAGACCTTACATCGACCCTTGTAGGATAGAGAAGTTGTTTTCATTCGACATTCGACTCAAAAGAAATGTAACCAAGACAAAAAAGTAGGAAAGAAAAAGAGACAAAAAGAGTCATCATGTCTCGTTCAAGACGATGAGTCTGTGATTTGGACTCATTCAGGGCTCTATTGGATAGATTTAGTGTCCTCAAATATTTATTTTGAACCAATAACTGATGTAGAATACTTGATATCCAGGTATTTGGATGTAGGAACAAAGCTTGGACACTAAAGTGCAGAAAGGGACGAAGCAAGCTTAAGGAAAGAATAAATGAAAGGCTGGAAATCGCCAATGTCACTCGCCGAATCACCAAGTTACCATTCCACCACCTAAAGTTATAGAATGTTGGAGATGAATTGGGAGTAACTTCGGTGAGCAAAAGTTCCACTCGGCGTGTCGCCGATCGCCACGACGAGAGATGACCATTTCACCAAAAGTGTTGATGGAGGTCTAAACAAGTGCTGATAGGCGAAATAAAAGGAGAGAAGGCGACTCGCGAAATAATTCGGCGATCCCGATCTGGATCGCCTAAAATTACAGTAGCTGGACCAAGAAGAAGTGAAAAATGAAGGCGAGAGGAAGGAAAATCGGCCAGTCACCGAACTGTCGGTGAAGCCTGACTTAGCTCGTCGATTGGTCATAAAAAGTGACAATTTAGACTTGTTTAAATTGATTTTTGCTAGAGAAAGAAAGCATTCAGAAATGTGAGGAACAAAATATTGAGAGAAAGACCACTGCTAGAGGCGATTTCTTAGCGATTTTAGCAAGATTTTCTTGGAGATTTTGTAATAGAGGAGATTCTTAGTTGATTTTAACTTTCACTTTTCATTTGTACCCAGCTATAGAAGACAAGATGGATGTTGATTTTCATCTTTTTGCTATGATTGGCTAAAACCCTCTCCTTGGGGTTTTGACTATGTGACCAATTGTTGAGTTTTACTAATTGGGTTTCATTGATTTGTGAATAATGGTGATAACTTGAAGTGGGTCTGATTTTCTGTTGTGTTTTGAGTTCATCTTGCATGATTGTTGTCACTAGTTTAGTGTTTTGTTATTGCTCGAGTGAGAAGCACAAAGCTAAAGTAGCAAGTTTAGCATCCTTAGTAGTGGGTCGCCATGATTTCAGCTTGAGAAAGTGAAACATGGAACCTATCCTTTGTATCTTGTTTGAAAGAGTGTATTTGATGAGGACAAGGGTTGGGCATCTTTCGTCTAGCGTTGAAGTTCAAGAGAATTTGAAAAAGATAAGGTAATTGTTCGAGAGAAAATTGCTTTACATATAGTCCTACCTACCCACAACAACTCATCCCATTATGAGCATCAATGTTTATCCACTAAGTTGAAGTCAATAATTTGTTGGTCAATTCCCCAAGTGTTACCTTATTAGTTGATCATTTCATGTTAAGTGCTGAATTGGATTAATAATTATAACCTGAAATTTGAAGCATAAGTCAAAAAGGTGCAGTAAGTGTGTAGTTTAAGAGATTGTTGTCATAGTTTTATAATTGAATTCGAAGGAAAAGCTACTCTCTGTGGGAACCACCCCAACTCATTTTGTTCGGTTATATACTGACTAGCGATTGTTGACACTTAAACCTGGATGAAGTATCTTTGAAACGTTAATCAAAATGGCGCCACTGTCGGGGATTAGCATTACTTAGAATTCTTTGATTGGAAGTTTGATTTGTGAATTTGTTGGCATTGGCTGCATTGTGTAGTGTTTGTTGGGCTGCATAGAGGTAAAAATGAGTGAAGAAAAGGTGAATGGTAGTCAAGAAGGTCATCGAGGTGGCATTAATGATATCAATAGTGTTTACAACCCATCTCATGCAGGTGAAATGAGAGCAATCTGCATACCTTAAGCTGATGGGAATGAAATATTTTGAGTCACTAGCACAACTCTTCACCTCCTCTAAATGAGGAGACTATATGGAGGGCTAGAGCACGAAGGCCCGCATGAATATGTAAGGAATTTTATAGAGGTGTGCATCCCATTCTCATTTAAAAATGTGTCACAAGAGTCAATTCAGCTTCGGTTATTTCCACTATCCTTAACGGGGGAGGCAAACAAGTGGTTAGCCGAGTTACCAAACTATTCCATCACATCATGGAAGGAGCTGATTATAGCATTCAATACAAGGTTCTTTCCTCCATCAAGGATGATGAAACTTAGATATTACGTTCAAGGTTCCAAGCGATGTGAAAGGGAACCCATCCTGAAACGTGGGTGAGGTTTAAGGAACTCCTACTTAAATTCCCAACTCATAGGCTACCAAATTATTTTCTACTCCAATATTTTTACCGGAGTCTTAATTCGGTTAATAAAGGAGTGGCTGATCAATTGGTACGAGGGGGAATAATGTTACAATCATTTGAGGTGGCTTAATTTCTTCTTGACGACATGACAAAAATAAATGAACCGTGGTACACTCATGAGTATAAGGTCTCTCTTTTTTTGTTTTAAAATGACGCATGAACATATTGATAAGGAAAGAGAACGGGATGCAAATATCCAAAAAATGTTGACCTAAATTGAGCTTTTACAAGAGCATATGATGACGAATTCTGAAAAAGCAAAGGTGGTAAAGGAGTGTTTAGAGTTGAGGAGGGTTCCTCCTTAGGTTATTAAAAGATGGGGGAGAATCAAGGTTGGAACTCCAAGAGATACGAGGAGGATTTCCACCCACTCTATTTGCAACGAGGTGGAAATTAAGGTTGGAACTATCACCAAGGGGAAGAACAAAGGATATTCTATCAAGATTGGGCTAAGCAAAGTCATTATTGAAGAAGGGAAGATGACCATGAAGAGAACCACACTCACTCGAGTGAGAGCCCAAAATCAAAAGGGAGTGCAAGTAGTCCCCGGGTGAATGATTTGTTGTCACGCGTGATTGATAAAGTTGAAGGTTCAGATGACTTGTTGAAGGGGATGAAATATCATTTTTCATCATTCAACAGTAAAGTGAACTCACAAGCAGATGCCATCAAGATATTTGAAGGTCAGATGAGTTTACCTTCAGCATAATTGAAACTAAAGATTACAATGGAAGATGAGGATAGCGGGCTGGCTGTGGTTACTCGTAGTGGATAGGTAGCAATAGGTAATGTGATGGGCTATGAAGCTCAAATGCATGAAGAAGATAATGACATGGAGGAAGAAGCGACACCTCTTCATCAAAGCATTGCCAAAGAACCACCAAGAGAAATGGAGCAACATATTCGAATGCCAAAAGTTATGCAATCTTTACCCATAATATCTCCCTCATTTCCCCAGGGCCAAAAGAAGAAGAATGAGGATGAGAAATTCAAGAATTTCCTATCGGTGTTCAAGACATTATCTATTAATCTCCCCCTTATGGAAGAACTGTTGGAAATGCCGGGTTATGCCAAGTTTATGAAGGAACTAGTCACAAAGAAAAGGAGCTTAGATTTTGAGACAATTGAAGTTTCTCATAGTTGTAGCGCAACCATGACAAATGAGATGATCAAAAAGAGAGAAGACCCCAAGCATTTACCATCCCTTACACTATTGACATGCTCCAATTTGCTAAAGCCCAATGTGATTTGGAAGCACCTAATGCCGTATGCGATCTATAAACAACTTGGGTTGGGGGAACCGAAAGCCACAACTATGAGACTCTTAATGGCTGACCGATCAATTAAATATCATGTGGGGATACTATATGCCATCTTCGTAAAGGTTGAACGATTCATTTTCTCGGATGATTTTGTCATTCTCAATTGTGAAATAAATGTTGAAATTCCCATCATTTTGGGAAGGACATTCTTAGCAACCAAGAGACCGTTGGTGGATGTCGAAAGTGGAGAATTGATGTTTCGGGTGAATGAAGATGAAGTTACCTTCAATGTTTATAAGCCAATGAAACACCCAAGTGATATTCATGTGGTCTCCACTGTTGATGTTATTGATGAGGCGGTGGCTAGTGTGAGCCATTTGATGTGTACGAGTGAATCACTTTAAGTTGTGCTTGCTAACTATGATGAATTAGAAATTCAAGGCTATGAAGAGGTTGTAGCTGCTCTTTCAGGTGTGGGTATACAAAGACTCCATTGAAGTTGGACATCGATCTAAAGAATCGAGAGAGTCCTCCCGCAAAATCAACAACAAAAGAACCACCGAATTTGAAGTTGAAAGTACTTCCTTCCCATCTACGAAATGCCTTCTTGGGGAAAAAAAAAACCTTGCCGGTAATCATTGCAATTGATTTGCTTGATTGGCAGGTAAAATTACCTCTTCAGGTGTTGAGAAGGCATATCAAAGCTATATGTTGGACTATCGCTGACATAGTAGGCATTCCTCCAGGTATTTGCACTCATAAAATTCTGCTGGATAGTGAGTGTAAACCGAGCGTTGAACATCAACATTGATTGAACCCACCAATGCAGGAGGTAGTGAAAAAGGAGATAATAAAGTGGCTAGATGCATGTGTGAGCTACCCTATCGTAGATAGCAAATGGGTAAGCCCAGTGCAATGTGTACCAAAAAAGGGAGGTATCACAGGGGTCCCAAATGTAAAGGGGGAGCTTGTATCTATGAGACCTGTGACCGGATTGCAAGTATCCATGGAATACTGAAAGTTACATATATGGACTGAAAAAGATCACTTTCCCATGCATTTCACAGATTAAATGCTTGATCGACTGTCAAAGAGAGGTTGGTACTGCTCTGTTAAGAAGTGCACTAAGTGTCAAAAGCAAGATGGAGTGTCCAAAAGACACGTGTTACCCCTTACCCTTTTTTCAGAAGTTGAACTATTTAATGTTTGGGGAATAGATTGCATGGGTCCATTTGTGAGTTCGTTTGGTAATAAGTATATATTGGTGGCTGTAGATTATGTTTCTAAATGGGTGGAAGTTGTTGCACTTCCAAACAATGAAGGGAAAAGTGTGGTTCAATTCCTGAAACGCTACATCTTTGCTAGATTTGGTACTCCTAGGGATATCACTAGTGATGGTGGATCCCACTTTTGCAATAAGTGGTTCTCAGCCGTATTGAGTGAAACACAAAGTAGCAACTTCGTATCATCCCCAAACAAGAAGCCAAGTTGAAGTGTCAAACCGGGAAATGAGGAAGATCTTTGCCAAGACAGTGAATGCTAATAGGACTGATTGGTCTCGAAAGCTTGATAACGCATTATGGGCGTATCGTACCATATACAAAACACCAATCGGTATGTCTCCGTATCAACTAGTTTTTGGTAAGTCTTGCCATATACCTGTTGAATTGGAACACAAAGCATTGTAGGCTTTAGGCTCTAAATTTGGACTAGAAAAAAGCTTCAAAAGAGAGAATAAAGCAGCGAAATGAGTTAGATGAATTCAGGTTCAAAGCTTATGAAAGCTCACCACTTTACAAGGAAAAGATGAAGAAATGGCATGATGCTAAAATCCTTAGAAGGAAGTTTAGAGTAGGATATTGGGTGTTACTATACAACTCTCACCTTCAACTCTTTCTGGGAAAGATCAAGTCCATATGGTCAGGACCATTTAGAGTGACACGAGTATTCACAACTGGTGCCATCGAAGTTGAAGGTCAAGAAGGACCTACATTTAAGCTGAATGGGCAATGTTTGAAGTTATACTTTGGCGAGTGTTCACAAATCTCTCTGATTCAGGTGGTGTACTTGGAAGATACTTGAGAGTATTTCCACATTGTGCCACGACGTTAAATATGGAGCTTCTTGGGAGGCAACCCAAGTGTTATTGTATTAAATATTGTGTGTTGATTTTGTAGGTGAAGGATATTGCACGAGGAGACGATGCTATCGGTGATTCGCCAAAACTGTTCAGCGAGTATGACATGCCCTTCTTATGGAATCCAAAGAAAGAGCTGAGATTTTAGAATATTCGGCGAGAGACACGTATCACTCGGCAAACTGCAGATGTGCTTAGGCAACCCGATTTGTCTCTCCCTTTCTACTTTAGCGCTGGCAGTGTAACTCAGTGACTGTTCGGCAATGTTCCAAATCCATTATTTAATTTGCTGATCTGTTTGGCGACCTTCTACATCTCTTCCGACTTGCCCATTCTGAGAGTGTCACACACTGGAGATAAGGGCGAGATGCCGCGCCCTTGGGCGCATCGCCGAATCATTTTGCGACTGGTTCATTATCTGACCGACTGGGCGCTGAATGAAGATTCCTTGTTACCTTGCTCTGCATGATTACTAGAATTTTATCTTTATTTGCTAGTTTTCTGTTATTATTTTATTTCTCTTTTTATTTAATATGCAGTAGTGTCCATTCTCAAATCTCATTGGGGACAATGTGGAATTCTTTCGGTAGGGGTAGCTCTTGGTCAATGAATACCTCTGTATTCTTGAACCCTCTGGATTGCGTTTAATTGTTGTTGTTCTCTTGCAAGTTTGAGTATCGGTCTTGATCAAGACCAATGACTTGAACAGTGCTCATAATCGAACAAAAATGAATATGCAGCTACAATGAGGACAAATGAAGTTGCATAGGCATTATGTGAACTTTTTGCATGTCATTGTGACTAGCCAATTATCAAATTGAATCTCTTGTGATGAAGATTGCACAGTAGAGAAAGTGTGGAGTCTTGTTTGATATTGATGCAAATACCTTGTGTGATGAGCTTACCGTGAAACATGTCTGATGAGACCTAGAATTTTCCCCGTTGGTCCGATCGACTAAGTGATGCATGCTCTTGAGATGATTTTAGGCAACTTTGAAAAGTGTGTGAAACAATTTGACATTATACATCCTTTTATGGCCTACCTTGTGAGTGTGTGAAGTTCGCTTGAACACCATTGAGCCTTAACCTCTTCTTCGAAGAAACTTGATGAAATTGTGACCTTTCTTTATCCATTACCCATAATCCTCATGATTTGTGGTTTGTTTGAATAGCCAACTTAGGACAAAAGCCTAAGTTGGGGTGTGGTTAAAAGAGAAGGTAAATCAAGAAATGCAAAAAAATGTCCCATTTGACCCATGGTTTTGAGAAAGATGGAAGCCCTCCGTACAAAAAAAATGAGAGAAAAAGAAGAAAATAATGAAAAAGAATAAAAATGAAAAAGTTGTGGAATAAAGTAGTGAAAGTGCAAAGAAAATGGGGTGTCCAACAGTCCATGGAAGATGAATAATGGAGTGACTTGTGAGCACGAATAAGAATGATAAAGAAAAGGAAAGAAAGAATTTTCCATACCACATTTCATGATATTTACAACCATTGGGCCTAAATGACTGTCACGACCCAAGCCTAGGGCCTAGACGTGACATGGCGAATGACGAACCCGAAGGAACCCCAAACAAGCCTCTCAAACTTGTCATCACACTTCATCGGTCGCGGAAGTACATTAAACATTAATTAACGAGAAATAGGGACTAAGGGCAAACCATTTCAAAATGACATCATAGAACAAGAGTCAAGCTCATTTACAAAATACTTGTCCAACGCACATCTCTACATACATAGATAGGACGGGGCCATGACATACTACCGGCTCCCCTCATAGTCAAAATACAATTGCAAGCTAAAGTCTCAAAACATAGGAGTAGGAAACATAACATAGCCCTCGAATCATTGAGGACTCACCAACAACTCGGATAAGCACCGTACTAGCCACGTGAATGGAGAGAAAGATCAAGAGTAGCTCTGATCACTACATGGTGACATCATGTAGGCAAAATATGCGTTAGTACTTGGAATGTACTAGGTATGCGGGGTGCAACACAACAATAGACAAGGACACAATCGAAATACAAGAAATAGTTTCATAGGCATTATGAATAACAATATGAGGATGCATGATCAAAGTGAAGTCAAAACATGTTTAAGTAAATCTATACTAATAGTAGATATCATATGTGTATGCATGATCCAACCAATCTATAACCCCAACTTAGGATGGGGGATGCCGTTCACACCCGGACACCCTGGTGGCAAGGTATAAACCCCTCAGATGGTTGATGTTGGTCACACCCCAAGCATCCTAGGTGGTGAGATATAAACCTCTCACATGGTTGATGGTGGTCACACCCCAAGCATCCTAGGTGGTGAGATATAAACCTCTCACATGGTTGTCCGGTTCTTTTCCCCCAGACCGGGCATGGTCATGCAACACTTTATATAGGAAATTCCCATTAGGCTCTAATGCAATCTCATGTATGGAATGAACATATACACAAGCTTAGTTTGTCATCAACACATCTCTGGATTTCCATACATCTCATAACTCAAGCTTTAAAGCATCGATTCATCAATTCTCCATAGTTGGACATTTTGTCAAACACCTTGAAGGCATGTAATGGAATCAAAGAGCATGGAAAATAGGGTAGTAATTATGCAGCAAAACCAGTGAACAACCTACAACAACACCTTTTTAACACACACAATACCACATGAAAATCTCCACATCTATTCCAAATTTAGGTTCAGGTTCTAGAGTCACAACATGCTCAAAACAATCACTTTTCATGTTTAAAATTCAATGTGCAGGAAATTATTACAAAGAACAAGACTAATTTATTAATCTTAACTTAAACCATGAATTAGTGAGTAGAATAGAGTCTAGGCACTATGGGTGGAAGGACCCATGAGTTCAACACCACATACCTTGAGTTTTTATGAAGGTCTTGAGAGTGTCTTCAATGGAAGCTTGGAACATGGAGCAAGAGTCTCTTTAATCTTGAGGAAGGTTTTGGATTAGGGTTCTTGAGAGAACTTGAGAGAAAATGTGTCTAAGTATGGGAGAGATGTTTTGGGAAATGTTTTAGAGATGGGAATTGAACTAATGGTATATAGGAAATAACATATGCCCTTTGGAAAAATGGTCCAACACTTAGAAAAAAAAACGAGGCGGGTGAACAGTTAAAACGTTCACTGGAAATTGTCTTTCCTGCCAGACAAATTTTACGAAAATGGGCATAACTTCTTCGTTCGAACTCCGAATGAGGTGAAACGAAGTGCGTTAGGTAGCTAACTCAAAGGGCTTTCCATGGATATGTTATTGGCCACCCAATAATTCGTGTGCTAGGAGATATGACCCTCCAAAGTAGACCCTCGAAAAAGGCTTCACTTGGAAATTTCGGATTTTGATACGGTTGCTCTAAAATTTGGGTTAGACCCATTTCCCACTCAATTTGACCCCCTAAACAAGAATATGAAGTCAGATTTTTGAAAAACGAAACGAATTTTTTTATATATAGCTAAACAAGTTTCCGGTAATTTCCGAAGCACCTTTTTAAGAACTTTTAGGGTCATTTCAATATCTCCCCTTTGGGAACATTCGTCCCCGAATGTGGAAGAGAAGTACAAGGCAAGACTTAGTAAGAACATATCAGCCCCAACATGAATGCAAAATTTTTATTTAAACATCACTTCAAGATTTCAAAACTTAGTGTAAAGCATCCATAACTCATCTATTTAAACATATATGCACATTAATGATTCAGGGGCTGAAATGTAAGACTCAATGGAGTACAAAGGACTTGATTTAATACCTTAGGCTTGAGTGGAGTTGAATAGATAAGGATAACGTCTTTGCATGTCCGCTTCGGCCTCCCAAGTAGCACTCTCCACTTGTTGATTTCTCCAAAGCACCTTAACGGACGCCACTTCTTTGTTCCTAAACCTTTTAACTTGTCTATCTAAGATCTGAACCGGGACTTCTTCATACGTCAAATTATCTTCTACAACACCCACAACCTCAAGAGGTACAATAGCGTTAGGATCACCAACACATTTCCTCAACATCGATACATGGAATACCGGATGAACTAATTCCATCTCCTTGGGCAACCCCAACTCATAGGCTACTTTACCAACCCTTCTTATTATCTCATAAGGACCGACATACCTAGGACTTAATTTCCCCTTCTTACCAAAACGAACCACACCTTTCATTGGAGAAACTTTCAAATAAACCCAATCACCCACTTTGAATTCAAGATCCCGTCTCCTCACATCGGCATAAGACTTTTGACGACTTTGGGCTATTTTCAACCTCTCCCTAATCATCCTTACCTTCTCAAGAGCATCCATGACCAGATCCAGACCCAACAAGGCCACCTCTCCAACTTCAAACCACCCAACCGGTGACCTACACCGTCTACCATAAAGTGCCTCAAAAGGAGCCATACCGATACTAGAATGATAACTATTGTTGTATGCAAATTCAATCAAAGGAAGATGATCATCCCAACTACCTTTCAACTCCAATACACAAGCTCTAAGCATATCCTACAAGGTTTGAATTGTTCTTTCGGCTTGGCCATCCGTTTGAGGGTGGAAGGCCGTGCTAAGCTTTACCTTTGTACCAAGACCCCATTGGAATGACTTCCAAAAGTGAGAAGTGAATTGGGCACCACGATCCGAGATGATAGACAAAGGAATCCCATGCAACCTTACCAATTAATGAATGTACAACTTGGCATACTCTTCAGCCCTGTAAGTAGTTTTAACCGATAGGAAATGAGCCGACTTTGTCATCCGATCAACCACCACCCAAACCGAATCAAAGCCTCTTCTAGCCTTGGGTAAGCCCACTACAAAATCCATGTTGATTTCTTCCCACTTCCAAGTAGGTATCTCAATGTCTTGAGTTAGGCCACCCGGCCTTTGATGTTCGGCCTTGACTTGTTGACAACTATGGCAACCCGAAACAAATTTTGCAATGTCCTTCTTCATACCGCCCCACCAATACACATCCCTCAAGTCTCTATACATCTTTGTTGACCCCGGATGAATAGAATAAAAAGAATTATAAGCCTCATCAAGGATTCTTTCCCTCACACCATCCACACAAGGAACACATACTCTACCTTGGTACCTAAGGGCACCATCTCCCCCTTAGGAGAAAACCTCCACCTTACCACTACTCAC